GTTTGTCTGTTAGAGATTTTTAAGAAAGCTAAGAGAAAAGAGAAAAAAAATGTATTTGTTTCAAGTCCGCACGCTCCGGGACTCTAAACTAGAGGGCCATGAAAAATCCTAGTCTTTGTAAGTTGGGGGTATTTGTTTTTATTTCCTTTTGTCTCTTTTTTAATGTTTTATGTGTAATCAGTTGTTTATAAAAATGTGGGAGGGCTGAAGGAAAAAAAAAATTCTACACAACTTGAGAAAAAAAATTCTCTATCATCAGATGAAAACTGGTGCTTTAACACTATAAAGTACATTCAGAACTATTGTAAATGAATGGTAATGAACAAAAATAACAGACCATTTAGGAAACAGCATTATTCCTCTCTCTATTTTTATTCTTCTTCTATTTGTATTGAGCGGGGGGAGAGGTTCCTATTCCTTAAGGTTGTGACACAAAAGGCATTTTGGTTCAACCTTTAGAAAAAAACAAAACAAACCTATACTGTCAAAAAACACTTCAGATAACTTTACCCGTGCACTGCCTGAAACTCACCAGCAAAAAACAGAACAAACCCTCCCAAATTAACTCGTTTTTCTCTCATACATTGACATAAATACATGACAAGTTCCTCCCTGTACGGCGGGAGATGCTTCACATCCAGAAATCTTTTATTCCCATGATCATGTTGATATGTTTCTGAATCTAGAGCTGGATAACGTTCAGCAGGTTGTGTTGAGACGCACATGCAATGGAAAGAGTAATAGGTTAGACCTTTTGTATCCTGCACAGATAACAGAAACAGAAAAGGGGCGAAAAAAAGTAGCTTACAATCAGGAGAAAAAAAAAAAATAGGTCTAAACTATTTATGAAAACAGGCAGCAAGGTGAGCCTCTCCCCTGTTCCACCCCCTCCTCTGTAAATGACTCTTATAGTGCTTGTGCTGTAGTGTATAGTTTCCCAGCAGTTAAAGGTTGTCCCTTAAAAGTGCCTTTTGTTCACAGACTCCATTTTGTAATCCAGATCGCCCCTTTTTTTCGAAACGGCTCGAGGTAGCAGGTTGCCCCTGAGTGCCATTAGGAGGCAAAAGGTTGTCGCCCATTCAGCGCTACGGGGCAACTTTTTTCCCTCCCGCCTTCGAAATGAATCCCCTCCATTGTACCTCCCCTATATCCTCTCTTCCTTTTCAAAGCCGTATATATATACATATATATATATATAGTACAAAAGGAAACTGGTGTGAATTAGTTCTTTACTTTTTATTGATAAATGATGACAAAAAAAAACATTTTTTGAAAAGGCAAAAAAACTTGTTCTCGTTGAGCTCTTGCTTTTTTCTTCCCCTCTGTCTCCACTGTCTGTTTTCTCTTAGACACTGGAGTAGTCTGTAACTGTGTGTCCGTCACTCTCTGTCTCTCTCTCTCTCTCTCTCTCTCTTTCTCTCTCTCTCTCTCTCTCCTGCCCTCTCTGCTGTTGGGAGGGTGAAAAAAAAATATTGCCGAAAAACTTTTGTCTGAGCAGAATGCAGTTAGCTCACATGTTATTCTTGTCTGTATGCTTCACATTGTATTACCATACCCATCTTCTTCAGCTTCTCCATTCAACAGCTAATGTAAGTGAACAAATTACGCTGACGGGCTTTTGGGGGTGTCCTTGGGTGGGTTAGGAAAGGGACGACAGGGGTTCAGGGGTTTGGGTTGAAGAGGTTTACGGAGAAGATTAATGGGGTCGAGAGGGCTTGATGAACTGCTTTGGGATGTTGGAAAAGGGGCTGCTTTGACTAGGATAAGAGTTTGCTCTTTTGTTTTAGCTATTTATTTTTGGCTTTGTTTTAATTCCCCCTTCTTTGTTTCTTTTTAATTTGGATTTCTTTTTAATATTTGCTATCAGGGTATGCCGTCGTTTAGGCCTTCTTGGAGAATGCCTTTGGACTGTAAATGAAAGCTACAAGCACCTTATAACCGGACTTGTCCTGCACGAGGCTGAAAGAGGGGGGTTGCATTTCCAGGACATAACCCACATCCATTCAAACCAATCTCTTAAAGTGAAGTATTATTGTTCATGGTGGGTTTCACACAGTGAAATCCTCAGCAGTATTAGCCATTTACAACACACCAACAAGATAGATAAAAGGCCAGCATGAACCTGATTGCTCCGATTTTTCGAGGATTCAGGGAAGCCCCTCCATTTTTCTCCTCTGACCACCTCATGCTGGACTGCTCCGTGTCTTTGTTCTGTTGTCTATTTTGTTCTTTATCTTCTTAAGCGTGTATGGTTATTGGTGTAATAGGCAGCACCCTAGGCCCCCTGACTCCCAGCTCTTCTACGCCTCTGTCTACGCCCTCAGTGCAGCACCACTTCTTTGTGAGAACACCCCCAGAGCTCTAGGTGAAATGCATGTGTTAATTACAGTTTCTTTTCCATAAGAAGAAAACACAGTTTGAGAAGAGCAGCACCTGATTGAATAAAAAGGATGTTCTTGACTGTACCCTTTTGCTGTGCCATGTCTTTCTTTCCCTAGACTGGTGATGAAATAAGGAATCAGCTCTGGAGCTGTGTAATGTCCTGCAGTGTTTACGTGATAAAGTAGATGTGAGTTATGCTAATAAGCTAATGCCATCATACTTGCATTCCTGTTATGAGTGCAGTATTAATACACTGCCCATAAAAATTAAGGAGACCTCAAATCACAATGAATTGAATTATTCAAGTTAAAAACAAATATCTGATGTACACTGTATAATTTGTTGAAAACAAAATGACTTGACAACAGTCAATGGAAACCAAAATCATCAACCCACTGAGGGCTGGATTCACAATCCCACCGAAAATAAAAGTAAAAATTCAACTTACGTGAATTTAATCATGGCAACTCATAATGTGACTCAGTAGTGTGTGTGGCCACCATGTGCTTGTATGCACTCCCATCAATGTCTGAGAGAGCAACTGTCTGTGGCCACCATATGTAAAACCATTCCTTTTTGGAGGTTGTCTTGCCTTTGCTTCTCCATTGCACCTGTTGTCACTTTCATTTGCACCAAAGCAGGTGGAATTGATTCACCATCTCTTGTGCTTCCTAAATGGCCAGATTGATATCCCTGAAGTTTAACTGTGTGTAATATAGTTTTAAAAGCATTTTAAATTAAAGCTGCAAGCAGCGATGAACGTGAACGTTTGCACACGTCAGAGGTCCAGGCTGATTCATGAAAATCAAAAGATAATTGTCTAACAGGGCTTATTTCATTGTGCCAGTAGGTGGTGCAGTCACTATGACACCTAATTGGCATGTTGATGCCTTTGGGCCTGGAGCCTAAAACAAGTGAAATTTGGTACAGATCTGTTAGGGAATACGAAAGTTACAACAAATTCCTGTGTCGTGGAAAATAAGGTGTCGCCATGTCATCATACTTCAATGTAAACTCACAATCTTCACAAGTAAGTATCATCAAGGTCTTGTTACTATGCTGATCAAATCTGAGGTGGATCTGATCACTCCTGTGGGAGGAGTATGTCAAAGTATAAAACATGACTATAGCTTAATTTTAGCACTTATGTCATGAGGCTGGGACTCTTATCAGGCATGAGAAATTTTAGGCAGATTGGACAATGTATGCTCAAGTTACAACAACTTCCTGGTTTATGGCAAAACATGCAAAATGGCCACCACGCTCTCATGGCAACCCTGTTTGACGAAAACTCACAATTTTCACAAGAAAGAATCATAAAGGTCTTGAGACTTTTCCAAGCTATTTTGAAGTGGATCTGGCCAACCTGCTAGGAGAAGTACATTAAAGCATAAAACATAATTTCCTATTGCCAGTAGGGGGCGCTATAACCAATTATTGGCATATAAATATGTTCAAAATGGGACTGTCATCAACCATGTGAAGTTTGAGGCAGATTGGACCATGTATGCTGGACTCAAAAACCGTTTCCTATTTGGTGGCGAAACATAGAAATTTGACACTCTCCACAGTCACATGGTTCAACGAAAACTCAATCTTTGAGTAAATTTCGATGTCAAAGGTCTTTAGATGGTACAGACAAAATTTGATGTTGATCGGATGTAATCTGTAGGAGGAGTTAATTAAAGTATGATCCCTGGAAATGGCTGAAAATGCACATAAATTACGCATTTAATTCAAAATGGCTGACTTCCTGTTGGGTTAAGGTTATGGCACCAAGACAGGTTATTGTATGTCTTGCGGTGTTTCATGTGCCTTCCAAGTTTTGTACATGTAGGTGAAAGAAGCCTCAGAGGATGCTTTGTTAAAGTTTTGTAGGAGGCGCTTCTGAGTCATTTTTTGCACCAGAGTATGAAACCCATAAAATATCAAATGTAAGTGTGCAATGTTTCATGGGTTTCAAGCATGTTTAGCCCCTAAATAATAAGATTCATTTGGAGGAGGAAGAAAAATAATAATTCAAAGATTGGATTACAATACGGCCCTCGCACCGTTTGGTGCTTGGGCCCTAATTACAAGTTGAGCTGAGGTTGGCAGAGTTTACTATGGTTACATGTCTCCAACTGGCAAGGAGGCTCCCAGGAAGTAACGTTATTACAGCACAGTGCGTCGGAAAAGATATATACTACTATTTATTTACACAAAAGTATGTTGAACAATAATACACTAGTAGTGCATAGCAAATAGTATGTGATTTCAGATGCAGCACCAGTGTTTGGTTTTCTCCACTCTGGACTACTGTAGAACAACATGGCGGACTCTGCAGGAGAGGTCCCACTTCTCATGTAGATATAAACGGCTCATTGTAAGGTCATGAAAACACAATTCTTTTTTTTCCCAGGTGATTATAGACTAATGAAAACATAGTCATAAATATTGTTTACAATCTCTGCCAACAGATGCCTCTAAACCCTACACCTTCAATACATGTATAATAACTGCTAATTAGCTAAAGTTAGCATGCTAGCACACTAAACTGAAACCTGCTAGCATGGCCGTGGACTATCCAACATATTTTCAAGTTTACCTTAAAGCAGTAAAGCAAAGACACTGGATGTTCAAAGCAGGCTTGAATTTAATTTATGGAAACATTTTAGTGACAAAGTGAAACAAAAATAAAAAAATTGCTCTAAATGTGCATTTAAATAAACAAACAAAAAAGAGATCATTAAAAAAAATCACAAGCAATGGACGTAACTGTTCTTTCTATTTAAGTACTTTAGAGACTGTACTTCAAATAAAGGGGTTCTCCCTCAAGTTAGTATTGCACATTATTCCATAAAACTGGAGGACTCAGAGGAGACAGATTAAAATAGAGTGCTTGAAATTAAAGATGCAGAGGTCGAGATATCCTGACTTTAGTTCTCACATATGGGTCCAGCTCCAAAAAAGTTTGATCCTGCAATTCCCTAAATTCAACCAAAACATATCCCTCCAAAGAAAATGCCCATGTCTTTAGAACTCCAACTCCAACTTTGTAACTCAGGCTGTAAAACTTAGCAGTCTCCAGAGGCAGAAAGACAAAATAAAACTGTGTTCATGGAATGAATAATACTCCCAAATCCTAGAGATCTGACCTTTTTAGGTGAGGTTCAGTTAAATTTTCCTTTAAATAACAAAAAATGGAAACAATAAATGATAAAAGTGCTTCTGCCCTGTCCTTATAGTTTATAACTTCGGCGTTCTTTGCGATAGATTTTTTATGGATGTCACTAAAATATCTATTTTTAAGTTTAAGAGTTTCTCAAAGGCTCTGTAAAGTGTATGGCTAGCATTTACATAAAAACATCTTTGGCCTAAACATAAAGTGATGTGCTCACTCAGCTGTTTCATGTAACTGTTTCAGTGCAGTTCTGAACAGCATTTTCGAGTACTGGTAAATGTAAATGTATCTTTGTTTTCAAGGACCTAAAGGTGCTTCAAATCAACTGGTCCTCTCCAGCCTCATCCATCTGAATGGGTGCTTCATCTTGCTGCTCTGTCGTCTTGAGACAGAAAGAAAGTTAACAGCTATTTCTTGAGTTTTATGTGATATGGAAAGTGTAAAAGAGTATTGACTAATCTACCTGCGGTGCCGGCTCAGTTTCTGGTACTGGTGCTCGATAGCATTTCTCTTCATCATCAGAGGGACTGTCATCTTGTTCTTCTGTCGGAGGTGACTGGGGTTCCCCATTTTGACCTGGTAGCTGTAGTGCAGCTAGCGCACCCTGGATGATAAGAGATTTCACAGTAAGATCCTTTAGGGGTCTCGCACCAACATAACTAGATTAGGAAGGAGACACTTACCTCTGCATCAGGTACAGCCTCTTGTGAAGGAGTTGTCTCTTGGACTGGACTGTCAGTAAAATTAAATGGTTTTGCAGCATGCTGAGGGCTGGGTGGAGATCTGGTACGAGGCTGGTTTCCAGAGGATGGAGGAGGGGGTGGTGGTGGTGGTGGTGGTGGTGGTGATGGCGGAGCTACTGTGGCCTAAATGTGTGAAGACTGACATTAGGTAAAGCAAAAGTCCCACTTTGTATTGAGGCTAGGCTTTGTGCCTCTGTACAGTTTACCCTCTACAAATACACATATATTAAACATGTAGGCAATAAACATCTGAAAACTAACAGAGCACCCTCGCATCCACCTGCAGGCTCTGATTTTAGTCAGAGGATACATGCTATCATCACCCTCCAATGTCTTTCTCTGTGTGGTTGTGTATGCTGTATGTTGTGGGCACTAACAGGGGTCAGAGCCAAGATGCCAAATATAGAATAATAGATTGCTGTGCTGTATTTAAATGAAAATAAACTTCTCTATGTAAGGTCACTAATGAAAATATATTACTTTTTCAGGAATTCAGAATCACGTACCTGGCTGGCATCTATCTTAATGGAAAATAATCATGGAAAATATGTAGAATAATTACTGAAAAAGTATGACTTTGATTGTCTAAGTATGAGTAATAAGAGTTTGGTGGCATCTGGCGGATGCAGCTGCACTGGGGTGGGGGTGGATCATTTATTTATTTATTTATTTATTTGAAAGGGACAGTACACATTAATGAACATCAGTATGTGAGTACACGTGTAAATGTGTCGGAGTTAGCAAACCTGCTAATTTACATCCGTAGTCCCTTGGCAGGTAATAGACAGACAGACACATAGGAGGTAGACGAGAAAAAAAGAAGGAGTAATAATAATAACAGTACACAAGGAGTTCACATTAAAATACCCATTCATACATAGACATAAAGTGCGGTGTGGATTCTATAAAGTGCCGGGTGTAAAGTGCCAGTTGTTAAAGTGCAAGTGCATGATAGTTAAATAGATCCACATGTGGTGGCCCACTCCTGCCGCTTAGAGTGGACCAAGACATCGGATACTTAGCAGCAGATGAAAAGTCCCATTCACAATTTAGGTACACAAAGATAATACATCACAGTGCAGTATAGTGCAGTGCATGCATACATACGTATATGTAGGCATGCACTGCACAACAACAATAACAACAACAAAGACAGTGCAAAGCATGGCGGACAGTCACAGAGCACGGCACATACGTATATGTATCGGGCTCTGCGAGAGGTCCGCCTAGCCATGATTACAGTGTTGGTTTGTTTTGAGCCAGTTTTTGAGGTGGGCCTTAAAGGTGCTATAGGTAGGGCATTCTCTTATTGTACATGGTATGTTGTTCCAGATGTTACTGCCCTTAACCGACATAACAGATTGTCCAAAAGTCGTGTGTCTGTAAGGTACTTCGCAATCTCCCCTGGAATAGGCTCTGGTGGTTCTGCCACTGCTAACTTTGAGTTTTATATATTCTTTTAATGGAGGAGGTGCAAGTCCATTCAGTGTTTTGTAAATAATACAGGCGTACTTAAGAACTTTAAAATTTTCAAAACTCAAGAGGTTGTACTTCTCAAGGATATGGCAGTGGTGGTGAGAGATTGGTTTTCTGTCAAGGATTTTTAGGGCCCTTTTATATAATGATTCTATTGGTTTAATTGTAGTTGTTCCAGTGAGAGACCAGTTTGTAAAACAATATTTAATGTGGGAAAAAATCATAGCATGCATAAACATTCTGGCCGCGTTAACTGTCAGCGATGGCCTAATCTGCTTGAAGTTAAGTAGATTGAATTTGATTGTTTTTGAAATCTTTTTAACATGATTTTTAAAAGAGAGATTAGGATCAAGAACAACACCAAGGTACTGGAATTCTTATCCTCAGTATTTGTACAGCCCTGCTATTTCTCTACTGAGAACTGTCATTCTAAAGTCAATTTACACCCTGTGTAGGATTTGGAAATATGTAAATCTGGTGACTGCTAGAAGCATTTTTTTTTTAAAAAAAAAGACACCACCCACATCCATACCGCACGACAGGAATTAGTAAGTTAGCTATCACAAGTAACGTTATAATAACAGTAACTGTCTTTTTACATGGCTTATTACATCTTTATATCATACACAGTATTTTGCAATGTAGCTATACAGTATTACATTATATACAAAAATGTTACTTTTAGCTCTTGTTGGGCATATCACAGGTTAACTCTTCCTCTTACCATTTTCCAGTCCTTAAAATCTCTTCTATGTTAAAAACAGCACTGGACGGAAGTAGAGCAGGAAAAGAACAATTAAGTCAGTTAAAAAACCCCAAAACGTTTATCTCCACTAACCATACAAATACATACATAAATACCAGCAACTTTCCTTCGTACAGTCTATAGCTATGTATATTTGCCTGCTGTTTTCCGTTTACCACATCTGACATGTGCTTCGCTCGAAGCGGCAACAACATCAGTACATCCGGCAGTATTCGACTTCAAAGTAAAAACATTAGCATTACGAAGTTTTTTTTAAATCCTCCTGTATGGAGAAAAGGCCCTCATATACCGCCATAAACTGTGTAATGTAGGTCAGTAGGAACTATTTTTTTGCCTTGCGCAACCAGATTAAATACTTAAGAAATAAGAAATTATGCATTTAGATGAAAGGTTTTTGTAAATCTATTTCTTTACATATTATGTAGAATAAGCGTCATAATCTTTGTTATAGACTGCTACTAGCTGTTTTGCAAAAAAGAAAGACAGAAACAGAAAACCATGACTGAGATGGTCTTAACCTTTTAAGGGGGAAATATATATAGCATATATAGCAAATGGCACCATTTTTAACAGTTTCACTGTTAGAGTTCGTCTTTGAACACAGAGGTATTTCTGAGGCGGCAATCTGTATCAGTTGGAAGGGCCTGTTCTCCACCCAACACACTGTTGATGGAGGGTCCGCTCTGTCTATGGCCACCCCAACCCGTCACCCCCACCCCACAGGTTCCAACTGCAACCCCACTGCCTGCACTGTTTATATTTACGCCCCTGGGGTGAGGTTCAGGTCAGGGGGATTTTTTTTTTCACATACAAAGAGGGATTTTACAGTGCCCACGTTGGCTATATTGTAAGTCCTGTTTGTACTTATTATTATTATTATTATTTACATCAAGCATAAATGAGAATAAGCAAAATGTTTGAAGTGACTGTTCACATTTCTTGTTAGAAGGAGAGATGTCTACAGATGATCACTACAGAAACATGCCATCAAAATGAGTAAAATAGAATAGCTCTGGTTAGGAATGTCGAAGCCCGCCTCTCTTTCTTGGAGGGTTTTCTATAATACTTTTTATATCTTGCTATGGTATGTTGTATAAGTACTACGGATCAATAACACAACATTTATGTACCCGTAACCTCACAATCCCTCCATGGGTGTGGCGATGAGTACCAAATTATAGTATTTTAAAATCATATTTTCCATGTTAAAATTGCTCGCTTTTATTCTGAAAGTCATGCAATTGAGGGCGGAAGTGTAGTGTTTTACGACCTTCCTGATGACGGTATTCCGGTTTGTGTTTTTTCGTAAACACAAGAAGACAATACACAACCAGATACAAAAACACCTCGCCGTGACGGTTAGAATATATGTCACCAGTCGTCCTACCGGCCACCGTATAGCTCAGTGTGAGGAGTTTATCCTGTCAAGAGAGCGACGTCGCTTCTCCCGTCGACTTTCCGTCAAGCTCGTCAAGGAATGACAACAAACTATCAGCTAACCGCTAGCTAAGCTAATGCCAACTCGTTCACAAGTTAGCTAGGTAGCTTAGCTCCAATTGACGCTTAGCTAAGTGTCTGTCTCCCTCCGAGCCAAGTGGACTCGCTCATGGTGGTCCCAGTTCAATGGGGAACTGCCTGTTTTCACAAGGTGCGGATGACCTGTCGCTGCTGAACGAGTCCGAGGGGGGCAGTCTGCCCGGAGAGCCTCCGCCGCCCTACCAGGTGAGCTGCTGGGGCACAATTTCAGTATACCCCGGGGATCTAAGAGCATGTCATCCAAGCCAGTTTTGTATGCCCTTTAATAACGTCTACCAGTTTCTTATTATTGTACCTGTCAGCCAGTGGTGGAATGTAATGAAGTACATTTACTTAAGTACCGGGGTTCAAATTTGAGGCACTTTACTTTAGTATTTTTATATTATGAAACTTTATACTTCAGCTCCACTGTATCTCAGAGGAATGTAATGTGCGTTTTACTCCACATTTGTCTGACAGTTTAGTTACTTATTAGATTACATTTTTTCATACTTTTTCTGTCCAGTAAAAACCATGTATCACCAAATTTGGCGATTTTAAATGGTGATTTTGACTTTATCTTAGAAATTTAAGGGTGAAGTGTAAGTTGTCCAATAATGAAATAACAGAAGCCCTGGCTGATATTGTTCATTCAGGTTGGGACTTTATTTGGAAGTTGGAGTTCCTCTTGTCACAGGTGCACTTGTAGGTAGATCTGAGCAACAAAGTGTTTTTTTGTTTTGTTTTATTTGATTGATTGATTGATTGATTGATTGATTTTTTTTAATCAGAGCCTCAGTATCTATAATGCAATGTACAACATTTTATGTAACATATGTATGCAGAATCTGTAGGCAACAGGGCAAGAATTTGGTATGGGAAGCATTCTAGTTTCCATTTGTAGTCCCAGCAGGCTTTGGTTGTCTGCATGTAAGCAGTGATTGTGGAGAGCAAAGGAGGCAGAACATATTGGTCAAAATACAGGCTCAAGGCCTGTTTGATGTTGATTAAGCTTTTTATTAGCTTTTTACTAATTTCTCTGCATTCTAATGTAGATATCTGATTAGCTGATTTTGTGTCTGGCTCTGTCTCAAGTTGAGAAACGAACTGTGAACAATAAGTGGCACACAAAAGAGGAATTCTTGGCCCTGCTGGCTACACTATCTGGAATCCCCGAAATATTGGTTGCTGCCCCTAGAGGCTATTATGAGACTGTTAGCTGATGGGTTTCAAGGTTGATGACAACCAAAATCCCAGACAATGCCAAGACTTCAATAACAGTGCTTTTATGTCATCCATCTCTACTTGCAAAATGGCCATTCTCCTGGTGTTGACAGAAGCACAGGAGCATTTTAATGCTTGATGTCTCCCAAATGACTTATAAAACTGTCATGATTAGTACGACAAATATTAGTATCAGCCTCAGAAATCAGATATCTGTCAGGCTGTAATGCAGAGAGAGCACTGACATGTCTAAAATCTTCCTTCCAAAAAGACTAAATGATTTCATAAATGATGCAGGTTGTCTTCTGTACATTCTTTTCCAGGAGCGCACCCAGCCTGTGCCAGTGTACCATCCCACCCCAGGGGAGAGCCGTCTGGCTTACCAACTGACTGAAGAGGAGCAGGTCCGCATTGCTCAGCGAATCGGCCTCATCCATCACCTGCCCAAAGGCATCTTCGACCCGGGCTCAGATCCCTCTGACAAAAAAGTTAAAGAGTGAGTCTAAAATTTGATTTGATTTTTTTATGTTCCTCTGTTTTTGTTGTTGTTGCAGTTTTGATTGAACACAGTGGATTGGGTTGATTCTTGTATCATTCTTAAATTATACTTATTTTTTTTTATCACCTGCGAGTTCCCTTTTCAGTTTTTTTTATTTATGATTTGACACAAATTGTAGTTATACAGTTACAGATTAAGGGTACAGATTTTCACAACATTTGTGGAAGTTTTACCACATTCTGTGCTGTTCATTGTATCATAGGAGACAAGACTTTGTAAGACTTTCTTTATTGTCACTTGAAATGAAATTTAATTAATTATTTTTTTTTTAATTAAATGGAATTTTAATCAGAATAGAAGAAAGATCAGTAAACATGAATTGACATCAATTATTTTATGTTAGGCACAGTTTTTCTCAAATGCTCTTTGTAATATGAAACATAATGTTTTTGTCTCATGGCGAGGACAAGGGGTAGAACAGAACTTGAAATATGTGATGTGTGTTTGTTGTTGCTTGATGTTTTTTTTTAATCTGCATGTTATTATTTTGCGCTTGGAGTGAGTGATAATTGTTTCATAAAAACATTGTAAAATCCAACTCAAATCCTGAATTGAAATTCTTTCTAAATATGTATTTAATCCGCACTGCCTCTAACGTCTCATTGTCCACTCTGTGAGCGCAGGAGGGGGAGAGGATGGCGCGACTGCATGGAATATATTTATTTATTTAGCTAAATATTTCCAGCGCATTTATCATGTCTCGAAATACAGCCATTAAGCACAACCGTTACACTCATTTCATCAGCCCTACTTAGACATGTGCTGTTCATGACAAAACCGGCATGAAGAAACGTGTTCACCTATTACACTTTCATCTTTGAATTGTATTTCAAATTACATGTTGTATTTTGGGACCGGGATACCACTGGTTCATGCTGTAATTCAGGCCGGGTGTCTGATCAGACTAATTGCCATAAACATATAAATACTGCGGTGACCCTAGTGCGTAATTGCGCAAGATGGCACTGGCACATACTCCTTTTTGCCTCCACCTTTAGTGATTCTTTATGTCGCACATCAATGTCAAACATCCTCAAATTTAAAAGCAACACATTAACTACATGTTGGTAAAGGAGTAGAAATATTTGGTCTACCTTTAGATCAGACACTCCGTGCAGTCCCACAGACACAGCTGACAGCATCAGCAGCGTTGATGTGTTGCCACTTTTTTTCGCTTTCTTTTATTAGTGATCCTGCTGCTGTGGCCACCAAATAAAATCTTTCTTCAGTCCTCCACCTCCCGTTAAAGGGTCTCTAGCTCAGTCTCGGAGAAATTCCATTTTTTGGTTTGTTTCTCACCCGTCGCCATGACTCACACAACGAGAGAACACTCGCATGCCGGCTTATTTATATGCAGATCGCATTCATGAGGTGATTTGCCTGACCATTTATGGTTGAACTAGGGCATGTAGAGGGCGGAATATGAGGCGGATCTGGGTGCGCACAACTCCAGGAGGTCTGTGATTTATAAAGAGAACATTGCATGCGAGTTTGCGTGCACGTATATAAATCAGATTATTTTTGACGCACGCCATTTTCAGCTTTTGGGCGCACGTCAACTTTTAGTATGAATCCTAAGCACTCTTTTATAAATGAGACCCCAGGACATTGGTCAGTCGATAGGTATAGGTCCTGAACAAATTGGGTTTCGGGTATAGCCTAAGTGTCAGACTGAAGCTCCCAGAACCTTCAGTCTGACATGGCTTCCATTGAAGGCGATTTACAAAGGGGAGGGAATTTGATTTTTTCCCTAACCAATCAGTAGAGATCAACGACTCACCCAGAATCTGACGTCATTAGTATCCATGCCTCGGGGGTGCCCGTTTAAAATGTCTCCG